AATACAAAATTGATTGCAGTCTACCGTATCTTCAATCAGAAAAAGAATCACAACAGCTAAGTGATGAAAAAATTTCATTCAAGAGACAAGTTTCTTTTATATACATATATTTTTTTAAATTATACGCAAATGTGTGGGATGGAAAAGTAATCCTGCACTTTTCTAGCACTCGATAAAGCACTTTGTCACGCACTTCAGTGGAAAAATCGATTATTATCGAAAGTACTAATTGCATCTGTACAGAGAGAATTTGTTTCTTAGAATTTATCTTGAAAATCATGGTAATCGTTGGACAATATGGTATTGGAAGAATTCTTTAAGAATATTAATATGTACATAGAAAATTAACATAGTAAATAATCGAACATATTTTATATCTTATTGTTGCGTATAGATATTAATATTGTGTTAAAAATATTTAATCAGAGAAACTCTTATAAAATTCTTCCAATGGCATATTGTCCCACGATTACCATGATCTTCAAAATAAATTTTCAAACAGGATGTGTACTCCCGGGAAACTGGAAAACTTGGAATTCTCAGGGAATTTGAATACTCACGGAATTTATTTTGAGCTCAGGGAATTTTAAAAAAAATTGCTCCTTTGATTTTATTTTCAAAAATACTTATTAAGTTTATATGAAGTATATTAAAATATATTCTATTATAAATTTTCTTGAAAACTTAAATTTTACCTGGAATTTGAGCAAAAGTTTGAATAGTCACGGAATTTATTTTGAACTCAGGAAATTTTTAAAAAAATTGCCCCTTTGATTTTATTTTCAAAAATACTTATTAAGTTTATATGAAGTATATTAAAATATATTCTATTATAAATTTCCTTGAAAACTTAAATTTTACCTGGAATTTGAGCAAAAGTTTGAATAGTCACGGAATTTATTTTGAACTCAGGGAACTCAGCTAAAAAATTGCTCCTTTGATTTTATTTATTAAAAATACTTATTAAGTTTATATGAAGTATATTAAATATATTCTATTATAAATTTTCTTGAAAACTTAAATTTTCCCTGGAATTTGAGCAAAAGTGCCTGAAAAATCATGAAATCCTCAGGGAATTTATTTACAAGATTTGAGTATATACACCCTGTAAAAGAAAATTCTCCCCGTGGACTTTCGAAGTCCGCGATTTCGTGTTCGCGGACATATAACTTTGTTTTATCGGAACAAAGTCGTATATATATATATATATATATACGCGACTGGACAATCTCCCTCTCGTTCGACGGCTTCTTTTCCGCGACATAACTCATTCGTGCCGCGCCCGCGACGACGACGGCCTTGTGGTGTCGCCAAAGACGCGAACGAAAGAAACAGCGTGGTATCCCTTCGGCGGGAGTGTCCCGATCCGCGAGAGCATTACGCGATTGCATCACGTTGGGTTTGCCGATATACATAGATAGAGCGACGCGATCCGGCATGCACGGTGCCGGCTTATTAATTGGCATGCGCAACCCGTCGGCCTGCCCGCGCTTGTGTACTCCACTTAAATAATAATTACCTGCTCCAAGTATCGCGCGACGCGGGCGCCCACGTAGGCGCCGTTTATGCTTCGTTGCGGGTTCCCGAGTCGCTCTCGAGCAGCCGGTGCGAGGAGGGAAAGAGTTTCGTGCCCGCGGAATATATTAGATCGTTATACAAGGTGTTTTTCGTAGGTAAAAGTCTTCTCGAAGATTTCAGACTTTCAGAAAAAATGTATGAAAAACTATTTTCTTTCGATGATATTTTCATTTGAATGTTTATTATTGTGCAAACAATATTTAAAGTTTTGGAGATTGATATTTATGTATTTTGATTACGTTAAATTCTCGAGGAATCTCTTGGTGAGACAAAGAAAGTATCACTTCGTATTAGAGCATCTCGCGGTATCTCAGATCAGACAGTATTGATCAAGCAGTTGAATAGGATTATTAATAGAGAAGTCTAATGAATGGCGCGAATCCGTGGCCCGGAGTATCGAGTAAAATGCAACATGACGAACGATTGTTATGCATATACGTCGGACGCACGATAAATTGCAAGCTGCGACGTGGCAATCGTATATGAATAAATTAAGTTCATCGATTTGACAAAAGGTCCGCGCGGAATATCGAGTGCGTAATTATCGACACGTCGAATGAAGAAATACTCGTGCATTTGTATTTCCGCGACGATATATACGTATGCGTGCGAAAGCGGTGTCCCTTGAGGAACGAAGATTGCAGATTGCAATGTTAGAGAGCGAAAAGGTTGTCGGAGGCGAGCGATTTCACATGTATAACAGCTGAACTCTTCTATCTGTCAAATAAATTAAGATCAATATAATTCACTAATTGTAAGACACGGATATACAACTTCTAATTAAACCCTGTTACAAATTGCTAGTGGGAAGAATTTAACGAGTTTCCCCATTTTAATTTTAATGATAGACTCTATAATTAATCCGAAATGTCAATCTTTAATTAGATATACGCGATGACAGTTTCTTCGAGTTAAACCTTTTTTTTTTCATTACGGATCAGTGAGCAGAATCGCGATCGCGCGCTACTTCCATTTACATAAATCGCTACTTACAGGAACATAGACAAGTATTGAGTTATCCATCGGTAATCTACACTACACTTCCTGTTCCTGTCGTAATCGTCGTTGTTTTCCTCGTCTGGGGAAAAAATAGAGATAATTTCAGATCTTCACGGTCGTTTATAAATCGATAATAATTTACTTTACTTATCGAGTTTCCCTTGCGGCGATCTACAGCTACTCGCTGTCTTCCGGCACTGAGTTTGTTACATATACATATATACGTTCGGTAAATAAAAATTGCATCGTGTTGATGGATGAGCCGATAGTAATTTATCTTTCAAATATCGGGCTTTTTAAATAACTAGTAGAGAAGTTAATTTTTACGATACTTTTTTACGTATTTTAAAATATTGAAGAAAATTTTGAAGCGAAATAAAGTTCTACGTATGTTCCAACGAAAATCTATCCAAAGTTTCCGATCGGATTAAATCTGACGTTACATATAGGAAAGACTTTTTAATCTATCGATGACACGGAACGTGTTCACCGAGCGATCTCGCGTACTCGACTCGGCCAAGTACCGTCGTACGCACTCGCGAACATACGTACGTATATGCGTGAGTATATGAGTCGCATCTGAGTCAAGTGGGCTGCCGTGGAATGTCGTCCGAGGAGTTTTCGAGGGCTCCTCGAAGTCGCTGTCAAACCCAAGTACGCCTCCGTGACTTCCACGAGTGCCTCGACGAGATCGGCCGCGAGCCTCAGTAACACCCCGCGAAGTGAACACACAGAAAACGACGTTACTTTTTTTTTTTTATCTACCGAACACTTCACCTCACCTTACTTCACCTCATCTTTCGCGAGCGGTCGCATTCCGGAGAAGGTAGCTGCACACGTCTTTTGCATGAAACCACCTTTCTCTCTCTCTCTCTCTCTCTTTCAGATCAGCTGTCTGCGAAGAACCTCTACTTCTATGAATCATTAATCATTTAGCTTTCTTTTGTCCGTTTTAAATATTTATAAAGACATTTCGTTTATTAATACTTCCTCTATTAACATTTAATAACAGAAGAACCTTTTTTTGGATTTAGTGTTTCTATTTAATTCATTAGCAGGCGTATCATTTGTTCAGATTTATTGACTCGTGTAAAACTATATATTTCAACTAGGCTTCTTGGCTTAATTTTTCATGAGAAATTTCATTCCTTTGAAAAATTTAAATCCTTAAATAGGATATGTATAATATATCGGCGAACAAATTTTCTGACCATATTGATTTCGTCCATACATCGTTCTGTACAAATTTTTTTAATCTGTCTTTGCTAAATTTAATTTGTATTATTGTATTCCTTATATTTTTCTTTTTTATTATTAATTTTTCATGTTATTTTTACTTTTGTGTTGATATAAATACTTTGTTTTTTACTTGCATCCGTTGTTTATTAGAGGGAGTATTTCCCGTTAAATTAAATAAATATTTAAAAAACGAGGAATGTGAAAATCAAGATTTAAAAAGTTTATTTGAAAGAGAAGTATAACTGATATATGATATATAATTTTCTGCCCCGCAAATACCTATAAGTGATAAAAGCTAGAGATCTAAAGAAATATAATTTCAATTTATTTCAATAATCTATAATTGCTTATGTCTTGATTTGCCCGCGATATTATTATAAACCATCTATCTGCGCCAATGAATATCGAATACTACGATGCATTTAAGAAAGTAAAGGATGAGAACTTTTTCCCTCTCGCGTTAATGTGATAAGCAATATCGCGAAGTTACGGTGATGCCTGTAAATGCACTCATTTAGATGCAGAATACGATGCGCGATACGTGTTTATTAGCGGATATAATTGGAGTGGCGCAATCAAGCGTGCCGTCGCTTGAGGAATTCATGAATATAGTCGGCATCGGGAATCGCAAGCGAACTTCGCGCATAGATAGACTCTCGGAGAGAGGCAGCATCATTCTCCGCCGACCGTCCTATGAATACGACGATACGATGTCGTCTTCTATGAGGGAAATCGCCGCCGTCGTCGCTGTCACTCGTCGCAGCTATTCTTCCTCGATTTAAAATTGAGATACGCATATCGAGATGTATCGCCAGTTACATTCCTCATTACCCGGGTTCTACGTGACTTTCAATCAGACGATCTAGTAACATTTTGATGAAATCCATCCAAAGTTGCGAAAGTTGAGTTCCCTTTAGTGGAGCTCCATTAAATCTCTTTTTGAAAAACCTGAATTCCCGATTCTAGACAGAAATTGATTTATTGCATTTAGTGAAAAAATATATTGGCTAACAAAAGGCCCTGACGACTTTGACGGATGTTGCTACCAAAAATGTCGCGAACGCGACAGGCGGAGACAGCCACGTCAGCGGGGTCTTTTAATGGGTTAATAGCGTATGGGACGCGCTTAATGACACGCGGAGAGCACGCGATGATGGAGATGTAAATAAAGTGTGTCTTTTCAGAGATAATTTGTACCGCTTGACGCTGACGTCGCTTACGGACCTGGAGCACGCCACGTGGTCCGCGCCGGAGGACAAGGTCAACACCTGTCAGAATAAGGGCCAGAGCGTCGAGGATTGTCGTAATTACGTCAAGGTGCTCCTCAGCAACGGCAAGAGCCTCTTCACCTGCGGCACTTACGCCTTCAGTCCGTGGTGCGCGTGGCGAGAGGTGAGTTCTCGAAAGGAATCCGATTCGAACGAATATTATATCTTGTCCGTAATGTATAATGAACTTCGTGTTATTTTTTTCTTCGCTCTTTTACTTGTCGCGGCTGTCACCGTCGCGCGATGTCAATAAGATCAGATTACCGTCATTAAGCTCGACATTATATCCTCGATAACGGACAGTATAACGGAGGTTTTCGCGGGCGTACTTTCTATACGGTAGCAATAATTATGATCGCAGATCGAGAATATAACGAGCGTGACCAGCGAGATGTCGGGCGTGGCCATGTGTCCGTATTCACCGCATGCAAACGTCACGGCGCTTCTCTCGATGGGACCTTCTGGCGGCCTCTTCGCCGGCGCGTCGACCGACTTCTCCGGAGCCGATCCTGCGATCTACAGAACGCTGGCGTCGCCGAACCTCAGGACACGACAATACGATTCCAAGTAGGTTTCATAATTTAAGAGGATGCTTCATCTTCATGCTACATTTTTTTTTATATCAATCTGTCGTTTTAACTTATCTCAATTTTTATATACAGAGATAATTTTCACAGAGAGAATTTTCTTTTAGAATTTATCTTGAAATTCATGGTAATCGTGGGACAATATGGTAATGGTAGAATTTTACAAAAACTTCTCTGATTAATATTTATCACAATAAAAAATATAATCTATCATAATATGCTTCATCTTCATGCTACATTTTTTTTATATCAATCTGTCGTTTTAACTTATCTCAACTTTTATATACAGAGATAATTTTCACAAAGAGAATTTTCTCTTAGAATTTATCTTGAAATTCATGGTAATCGTGGGACAATATGGTAGGAAGAATTTTACAAAAACTTCTTTGATTAATATTTATCACAATAAAAAATATAATCTACCATAATAAGATATAAAATATGTTTGATTAATTTTACTAAAATAGTACTTCAATAATTTTAAAATTATATTATAAAACTATATCAAAAACTTATGAAAGTGTTTTAAATAGAATAGATGCCAAATAAGTGATAAAATATTTTATATAAATTTTATAATGCAGCATAATATTTTCAATACAGCTTGATCGTTCGTTATAATTGTAACATGCAACATGATCATTTTTGGTTTATTATCAAACATAATATAACCTGTAGTAAATTTTGTGATAAAATATAACAAAAAATGCTGTTCGTGTAGGATTAATAAAAAAATTATTAAAAAATATACTCCTCAAAATAATTAAGGGATCAAAAAATTGTCCAAAAAATAGGCAAACTGTATGTAGCTGCAACTTTGTTTCGAAAAATGAGAATTTAAATTTTAAAAAAGGGTTTTAAAGTTTGAAATCTCTACTTTCGAAAGGTTACAGCTTTTTTCATTTTCTTTATTTCTGAAATTTTTTACATTTTTAAAACCCTTTTTTAAAATTTAAATTCTCATTTTTCGAAACAAAGTTACAGCTATATCAAGTTTGCCTATTTTATCGAACAATTTTTTTGATCCCTCAATTATTTTGAGAAGTGTATTATTAAAAAAGTATTTTAAATATTAAAAAAAACTAACGACATCAATTATACTATGGTGCAAGATTGTTTCGTCTTACTTATCGCACCCGGAATCATGTTTTCTCTCGCGCTTTCCTTTTAGGTGGCTGAACGACCCGCAGTTTGTCGGCAGCTTCGAGACGGAGGATCACGTGTACTTTCTATTTCGCGAATCTGCCGTGGAGTACATCAACTGCGGCAAGGTAAGATCAATTCCGTACAGAGGAGCAAATCCGGCGTGACGTGCGTGCATTTTCCGTCATTCACCCGCGAGACACGCGAGGAGCCATTTCACGCGTGCGATTAGCGATCTCGTCTTCTCCGAGACTTTTGCGTCAGGCATATATAATTAACCGCTTACGGTGTTTGTCGAAACGAGCGACACGTCGCGGCATTTTCCTCTCCCGTGGCAGAAAAATATCATCTCCGGCAATCGTGATCTTGGTTCGCGCGATGTTTATCATTTTCTCAACCTATCGCCGCTCAAATTGCCGCCTAAGGGATAGCTTTAATAAAATATTCCGCATCCGGCCGCGCGAAGATGTATCTTGATCGTGATCACACAAGCGCGAGGTCGAACTCCGCTTCAATATGATTAGATGAATTTGTTAAGCTACTTGAGCGACACAAAAGTTTGAAAGACATTAAAATAGTGTTAAAAATTTTTTAAAATATTTATTACATTTTTTCGAACTTTCGGTTTCATTAAGTGGATCTTTAATAGATATGATAATGTGTGCATTGCAATTAAATCTTGTCCAAGCTCACTAATCGTACATCGCGATTACAGAAAATCTACTCGAGAATAGCGAGGGTTTGCAAGAACGATCGAGGTGGACAGATTATGATGAAGGACGTATGGACGACCTTCAGTAAAGCCCGTTTGAATTGCTCCCTTCCCGGCGAATTTCCATTCTATTACGATGAGATCCAAGGCGCGGCTTATCATCCGGAAGAGGAAATCGTTTACGCGACCTTTACAACGCCTATGTGAGTATCGCTCAGCGATGCGATTAATTCGCAGGCGCATTAATTGTCATCTGTGTTTATGTCTGTGCACAAACTCCAGGGAGATGCAAGAGACGGTAAATGACAAATTGATTATGCGAAACAAATGTTTGTCTTGTGTATATGGCGCAAGTTGTAGATTAAATATTAAATCTGTAAATAAAGCTTGTAGATCAAGTAAGCGTTACACCATGAACAACAATCTTCATTCATTTTAATTGAGCAATCCAAATTTAATTTGTTAATATGATCTTTTGGGTTAAAAATCATGAGTTTTATTCATTTTATCATCCATGCGATTCATGAAATTTTTGTAATTATTTTTTGTATTTAAAATTATATTTACTCCAACTTATACGCTCTTCATGCTTGATCACAGTGGAATGTGTATTTCGAACAAGCTTGGAAGCTGCAGTTTCTCTTCCCCGGTGAAGCGATCGGCTTTAATGAAATTCTTTTTTCTCTTCTTTTTCCCGCCGCAGTAACGGCATCGCAGGCTCGGCGATCTGCGCGTTCAACATGTCGGCGATCGCCTCTAGTTTTAACGGGCCTTTCAAGTATCAGGAAAACGCGGGCGCCGCCTGGGAAAGGAGACCGGTCGCGCATCATAATCGACAACGTTGCGGGCCTCCGTCCAGCACCGCGCCGCATCAGATCATGGACAATCAGCGGTACCAGTTGATGGACGAGGCGGTCCAGAGCACGATGCTGGGTCCGCTGCACACCGCGACCCTCGAGCGATTCACCCACATCGCGGTGGACGTGACGCCGACCAAGCTGCACCGTAGCGTGACGGTCCTCTATGTCGCCACGGTGACCGGGCTGATCAAGAAGATCTCCGTTCTCCCTAGAACGCAGGAAACGTGCATCGTCGAGGTTTGGGGACCTTTGCCCTCGCCGCCGATGACGTTGCAATTCCTCAAGGACACGCAGAGCCTCTACATCGGCATGGAAATTGGCCTCTTGCGGTAAGACGATGGACATTATTTCCTTAGAAGTCGTGGAATTCAAAATTCGTCTCTCTTTCCGTTTATATTTCTTTTCAGTTATGATTGATATTGCACGTTATAAATATAATATATAATTAATATTATAATCAAATTGTGAATCACATTATCTAAAGTAATAAACACATTGTTCGATTGTTGATTATGTTTAGTGTAATAAATGTGTAAAGAAATATCTTTTTATAAATGTTTCGCTTAAATCATAATGTCTTTTGCTTTTTAGCGTACCTGCCGTTCAGTGTTATCGTCATCGGAACCGTCAAGCATGCCTGAACGCCCAGGAGCCGTATTGTGGATGGAACGAGCATCTTATGAAGTGTGCGCAGGCACCGAAACAGAATTATCTCGCGAATCATTGGCATCAGGAGGTCACCAAGTGCCCGGTACTCACGGATCCTGTTGACGGAGGCTGGAGCGCGTGGAGTTCTTGGTCGCCCTGTCAACACGGCACGGTGGAACAATCGTTCGAACACGGTCACGTTCACTCTCACTCGCAAGCGTATGATGCGGAGGTTGGTTCGACATATTCGTCGAGGATATCTTTGATCTCGTTTAAAAATAAGCTGGAATATTGACAAGTTTATCGGTCTTTGACATTAACTAGATACAACTTTGAAATATGTGTGCTATTTTTAATTACGAATATTTTTTCTATCCATGAAAATGACGTTTTAAATCCGTTCTACAGAAGATTGACACGTGCCAATGTCAGACCAGAGAATGCAACAATCCTCCGCCGCAGCACGGTGGCGAGAGTTGCACAGGTGCACGCGTCAGAGTAACAAATTGCACCGTTCACGGCGGCTGGACCGCTTGGTCAGCATGGTCGGAATGCTCCCAGACTTGCGGTTTCGCGATTAAAACTCGCCGGCGAACCTGCACGAATCCGGCTCCCGCGTTCGGCGGACGCGTTTGCGTCGGTTACGATCACGACGATAACGTGTGCATCAACCAGCCGCCTTGTCCTGTCCCTGCTAAAGTCACTCCGCCGCCTCAAAGCGGACAGTGGTCGACCTGGGGTCCCTGGCACGCGTGTTCGCGACCGTGTAATGGCGGTGAGTATACTTAATAACAACATTGATAACATCATTGCATAATAATATCAATACAAGAATTATCTAAGAAGTGTTTAATGAAATATCTTGAAGAATTAAAGATAACAGCGTCTTGTCGATAACAGCGTTTGTAAAATCAACAATTTACATTTTATAGGAATACGTATTAGAAAGAGAACCTGCGACAATCCGTCGCCAAAGAAAGGTGGCGTAGAATGTCCTGGATGCGATTTTCAGGCAAGTTTCAATATCTCGTAAAATAATATAAGATAGTATAAGATAAAATCTTCCTTTGCTGATGTAGTTTTAGAATTTTTCTAGATAAAATTAGGTTGAAATTGCTTGACGAAAATGAATTTTTCAGATTGAGGATTGCAACACTTACCAATGTCCCGAGACGAGACGGTATACTGGATGGACTCCTTGGTTGGCAGTGAACGCCAGTTTGCAAAGTGGCAGTACGGGCTATCTGGAGAAACGTTTTCGATACAGCTGCCGCGCGCAGACAGATGATTCATCAACCGTGCGAGTGCAACTTGCCAAGGAGGAGGAGCGCTATTGTAGAAACGATGGGTCTTGTCAAAGAGGAAAAGAGGCGGATGAGAGCGGTTGGGGCGAATGGTCCTCCTGGAGTCCATGCGATCGTCCTTGTGGGCGGGGTACTCAACATAGAGTAAGTGTTTGTCGTAGTTTCATCGATGTCTTTCAATATGTAAATGTAGCAAGAATTTTTTTAATTGTTGTTTATTGATTTAATTTCTTCAACTAAATTAATAATTAATAAGTTAAAAAATTTATTGGTCACAATAGTTTATTAATGCAACAAATTTACAAAGCATTGTATTATATCCAAGTATGAAAGTGAACATGTGCTGTGTGTTTATAGACGAGGCAATGCGAGTTGCCATTATGCGAAGGTGGTCCCACCACGCAGAACAGAGTTTGCAATTCGCATCCGTGTCGCTTGAATCCCAACGATGACAACATGGCGGAGGGTCAATGGTCGTGTTGGACGGACTGGTCAGAGTGTTCGGTGACTTGTGGCGTTGGCGTACGCACTAGGACGAGAGAATGCCTCGGTCCGGAAGGCTGTAGCGGTTTGCAATTGATGAAGGATACTTGCGAAATGGCCAGCTGCGAATCACTGATTGGTTGGGACACGTGGTCGCGCTGGACCCCATGTGACGGCGATCGTCAGCAACACCGAAAGCGAACATGCCTTCAGAACGGACCCGGCATGTGCGAAGGGTTGAGTCACGAGATACGTGATTGTCTTCCGGACTGCATAGACAACGGTGAGTTTATTGAAATAAAAGTTTAAAATGTTTCAAGAATTATATCTATAGCTATATATGTAAAACTGATTTATAAAAGATGTACGATACTGTTTCTTTACTACGATATTTTTGAAACGCAAAAACTGATTAAAGTATTATTAAATGTATTCCAGATGTAAATGCTTTGCCTTCAAGTGTGGAGAACGCGGGCGTTACGGTGGGTGCAGTGGTGGGCAGCTGCGTAATCGGTTTTTTTATCGGCTTGGCATTAACCGCAGTTCTGTGTTTTTCTACTTGAAACGACGCAAACCGCGCATTCCAGGGAGTCCGCATTATATCAGTAAACAAAATCCTTATGTCACTGTGCCGTTGAAAGAGGTAAGAATGCTGAAGGAGCACACTCGGCCGAATAATTAAGCATGTCCTTGACACAGATAAGAAACTATTAATTGTTACAGGTGAACGCAAAGCGACAGCCCAGTTTTTCGGGCAGCACCAACGGAAACGGGACTCTACGTATTAAGAATAATCCCAACGTTAACGGTCTCGGTAGTCCCAAGCTGTATCCGAAGAGTCTCGATTACGAATCTGCCACCTTGAAACGTAACAGTCATGGTCAGCAACATATTCGTGCCGATCCTGATCAGGACAAGTACTACTGAACGAACCACCCGCATAAAGTAGTGCGTCGTGCTTGATTTGTGTTCTGGTCTTTTGGATCATGTGTGATCTTCGTGTGATTTATTTATACGATGAGTCATACGTAACGTTGCTGACTTTGAATGTTAATTCATTCCACGCATTTGGCAGCTACATATAAACTTTATCGATTGATTAGTGTTCGAACGTTGAAAGTGACGTGTGTGTGTGACTCGAAGATGGACTTCCGCGTTACAGGAAGATAACTACTTAATTAAATTAAGGCGATTAAAAGGATGCCTGTCTACAAGACTTTAATGTTCTTAGCGTTAAGATAAGTGATATACATGTTCTCCGGCGCATTTGGGAGTTAGCGACAATAGCGCGATTACTGCGATTCAATATTATGAACAAAGATTAAAGGAGTCGATACGTATTTTGATAAGGACATGACGATGTTTTTTTTGCAACTGTTGCAGTACAGATAGACATGCTCATAATCGATGCATCGTTTTCGGAGCGACGCAATAACTCGGTGCAACCCGCGGAGAAAGTCATTGTTTCAAGAGATTTTATAAGAGTTTATTTTTGTTTCTGTATATATATATAGATATATCCCTCTCTCCCGCAAAAAAAAAAGAAAGAGATTAAGAATGCAAACGGACAAAATCGAGAATTTAATCCGCTCACATCTGAGCATTCGACTCTTTGATTCATCTGTACAAAGTTTCTCATAATCCTTCATCCCAATGAATTTTCACAAGTCATATACTTTATATAATGAAATAAAATTATTTCTGCAAGAGAAAGGAAAACAGGGAAATGCGTCTATTATGATTAGACGCTCAGTTATTAGGATTAATTGGAAGTGTTGTACAAATACAAAATGTGTTATATAGGTACATATATAAATACACATACACACACAGACACATCTTGAAGAAAAAAAGAAAGTTCGCTCTTTATGTTTTTATTTAGAAGAACTATCAAATATTTTATATCGAATAATGTAGTGCCATGATATACGGAGTTGTATATAAAAATGCATCTTCTTAAATATAGTTTTATAACGATGGAACAAATGCGTACATCATATGCGTGTATAATAAATGTGTACGATGAGCACACGTTGAACGATGATTGCGTTTATATTGGCTCACATTGAGTCACGTGTATGCATGCGACCATTAGAATAATTTGTTTCCTCTTTGCTTGCCAAGATGAGCGAAATTTTTCATTAGGAACTCAGAAGAATGTCTTCCAGAACGATAAATTAAAAAAATTTTTGATCACGTGTTAAGTATCTCAATGCTGTGGAGAGAATATAAGACAATATACGAAAAATGTAAGAATGCGAAATTTATAATATAACGACGTTTGATGTTATCTTGTTTAAGATAAAATATTGTTTATTGTCAAGGTCACGTGTATATGCGATTAATAAGTACTGTATGCGATGCATTTACCCTCGCACTCGTTTGCAATAAAGACAATATTCTTCTTTTTAATGGTTCTACGAATTTATATTTAACGAATATTCTTATATTTCGACAAAAAGAATGAGTTTTTAATATCTTGTATTAAGTTTGTGAACAAAAGAAATTAAGATAATTTTTTTATAAATCTGACGCAGTTTTTTGGATCTCTTTAATAACGTGATCCATGGACGATTCCGTAGGCGGTGGTTGACAGGTCACAACCATGCGAAAGAAATTGCCACACTCTCTATGCATTAAAGGTGTATAACCGATCATGACAGATCCGTCCAGAGTCAGACGTTTCTTTATCTCAGTTGTCATATTGTATATATCCTGCCACCAGTTTGCAGTTTCTGGCTTATCACGCATGCTCGAAGGTATATACCTGAAATAAAATTCATAATATTAATCGCGAATTTCACGATAATCAGTGAGATTGCTTACCAGAAACAAATGGTGCACAACTCAAAATCAGGCTGCACCAACCGGAAACCAGGAGTTTCTCGAATTTGTTTCAAGAAATATTTTGCACAGTGCATTGTCTGATCCACCAATTGTCCAAGACCTATTGTGCCGCGAGCTTTCCACATTAACCAAAATTTCAGTGAGTCGACCTTGAAAAATATTATCAAATGTTATGAATAAAAATATATATATACATATATATATAATTTTTTTTTGCTCAAAATGTAAATGGTCATATAATATTCTAATTTTTCAGATATCTTTTTCAATCTCTTGGATGAATTTTTGAGGTTTTTAAAAGTAAAATCTAATTTATTATGAGATTAAATTTAATATAATATATTGGAAAGCTAATGGTGATTACCTTTCTGCCGCATTGCACGCTTTTATTACCTGTGTCCCAGCTAACATCGTAAAATTTATCTTGTTGGAAAAGGTAGTCCGCCTGATAACAATTCGCTTTGTACAATATTTTTTTGTCACCTTTGACCAGAAACAGTGAGCATTGTAACGGCGCTCCAAGCATCTTGTGCGGATTCCAGGCAACCGAGTCTGAGCTAAACCGATGACGTCATAAAAGAACAATTCTTTTAAAAACAAAGCAAATTGGTCCGTGCCAATAAATTCGTTTCAAATGAAAATGTTTCCAACGCACGAGGAAGGAAAGTTAGCTTTTTGCACTTTTTTTCATGAATAACAAATATTGTTCAACATGTCGTTCAGAGAACAAAGGTCTTTCAATAAAAGAATGAAAAGATATATAAATACAAAAATTCAATTAAGAAGTAGGCTAACGAGAGCCAACCACAAAAACGAAAATCCGTCTCAAATCCTCTTTATTTGATTCGATGACTATTCAATTTCGATTGTTAATAATCGCTACGTCAATTTTGAACACTTGTCACTTTCCTTTCTCGACAGCGCTGATAAAAAAACCAATTACAAACAATTCAATGCCGCATAGTTGTGATCGGTATCTCTCCGAAACCAGCAAACTACCACCCAGACAAGCCTATAAGAGATCTCTGATTAAGATTATGTCGCTTCTCGAGCTAACAGCTCTCATACTATTTATACGAACATCTACGTGGAACCAGACCGACGCGTTGCGACAAGCCTCGGCGATTTCCTTCAATGGATCGATAGCTCCAAGCACCGTAGTACCTGCAGTAGCGTTCACAAAAAAGGGTAAGCGTCCTTCATTCTCTGCTCTTGTCATAACTTTTTTTAGGTCCTCCACATCCATGCGACCATACTCGTCCGTCTTCACCTGAGACGAAAAATGTATTCTCAAAAATATATTCTGATACAATTAATGAGTATAATTTGCGCAATTAATGGACGTGTGTAATTATTAATTATAAGAAGTTGATCTAAATTGTTTGAATTATTTTTAACGTCAAAAATAATAAATGTCTTGGATTATATAATTATAATATTACAAGTTTAGATTCTGTAAGCCCAGAAATATTTTCTACGAACTAAGAAAGAGAGAATATTACATTAAATTTTTAAATAAATATCTTATTAGATATTAAAATTAAAAAATAGAATGATATTACTTGATAAAAATATAATATAAATTATGGATATAATATTCAAGAGATTAGAATGACATTACCTTATAAACGTTATCGGTGCCTATACCTATCCAATGGGCAGCTTTCAAGATCGAATAATGACCGTCTTCGCTGGTGAAACATGCCAGAGGTTTGTCCATCCAAGAAACACCCAATTTCTTGACTTCCGGTACCTTTTTATATCTGGCCAATATCATCGCATACATATTTGCTATACTGCCACCCGGACTCATTATACCATCAGCAGAATCCGCTGGATAATGTAGCAGTTCTAACGCCTTCGTTATTACCTCGTGCTCTATCATAGTAAATACAGGCGCGACTTCATATGTATATCTGGCAAGAAAATATTCTCAATATAATTGTATGTTGTTTATTTATTTTTTACTTTATTTTTAGATAGCATTATTTACAACTTGTTAAGATCATTCAGCAGAAATGAAAGCGCTGTAATTTTATTTTTGAAATGAAATCAAACTTCTTCTGGCGGTGATAAGGATTTAATATGTTATTTGTGGTTCTGCGATAAGACATACGTCGTCTAAAATGCAACTTAGATTAGTAACACTATCAGGTACTTTGGGATAGTTATGTAATAATTTTGATTATTTATCGCGTTGTGCCGAAAGAAGCAAACTTTGTTATGTTTCACAAACATGAAAAAAATATATGCCTATTATTCTTAAGTATTCCTTAATGAAGCGTGATAATACTCTTACTGGCTAGTGTTTAAGGCCTCCGTTATCCAGGAACCAGCTAGCCCATACTCGTCTAGACCACCGTAAAGTTGATTATGAAAATGCGGGCTGCTCGTTTTCACAGAGTATCGTATAATCTGACGTATCAACGTCTCGAGTTCCTTCTCGTTTGTTGCATTTTTATCCAAAGAAAGTGAGATCGTACTCTATACACAAGTAATATTTGATTAATGAAAAGCCATTATTATTCTATTATCAAAATTAGTGTTCTATATCACTAAAAAAACTAAATAATTCGTTAATTTATTATTTAAAATAAAATTATTATATCCGATTATGCCAATTAAAAGATTGATCGGAGGAATATTTTTTATTTTTACATATTACTTTAATAACAATCAACTTCGAGTGATGATACGTTGTCATGCATGTCAAAGTTCCTCGAGAAAAGAGACGATTCGTCTAGCGGACATTGCACATGATGATAACATGATATTATTGCAATCATTGACCTCGGAAACTTTTGCATTTCAATAATCATATCGCGTTAATAAGTTTCTTGAGCAAATATTCTATCGTATATATTGTGGAATATTTTTTTCTTCTCAGAATCTTGTCACTCTTTATTGTTGTCTACATCGATTACAAGTATTTACGAGATATTGATTAGATATGGACAATATATATAAAATAAAATAGATGATGATCTAATAAAATTTATACATTTTTAATTAATCTTTAATGATTCTTGTTACAAATTTGATCAAGAATAGCATGTTAATTGTGCATCAAGATTGAATAAAAAAAGTATTTAAACAAAATTTGAATTAAGAATGAGAAAACAAATATTCTGTCTAAAGTAAATTTTAATAATTAAGAAATTCAATGTAAATATTTTCGATTTTTTTTGTTTTTGAATAACGCTATATAAATGTTCTGGTCATTTTCAAACAGTATTGACCTTGTCAGAGCAATTGATACGTTGTTAATCCATTTTGATTGTTTTTGTTACTAAGACCGTTACAAAAAAAATATCAAAGTTATAATTGACAAATAATTGACTGTTACTTTGAAATAATAAAATCTATTCTTATTTCTACGTTATTTAATTGAGTCTGGTGAGATTTATTGTTATCACACGCAAAAAGAATAGAAATATGATATAAGACAGACATTTTTTTAAATGTATAAAATGATGATAAAATGACGCCGATAATAAAAATATACGAATACAAATGCATTAATATAATATTAAGATAATAAAAATTTACATCTTGGCGGGAATATAAAAATAATTTACTAAAAATTCAAATACAACGCAATAGCGGATACGCATGAGATTGTACGAAAACTTTGTAACGTGATAAATGAAATTAATATTCACCTGTAATTCTTTGGGATGCAAAAATTCAACCACACGATGATCGCCGGATCGATCGAAGACATGTTCTTCTTTGAGAATTTTCAAGATATTCTCCAGCGTCGTGGCAATGTTGTTGATGCTTAACTCAGCCATCGCGGAAAGCATACTGCCGGAAAAGGTTCGATCTGTTCCCCTCCCGGGATGCGTATAAGAATGTTACATTCACTGAAGTAAACGTAGGAGTTTATACCCAGAGCGCCTCTAGTCGGCAGCAGTCGACTGACACAGATTCTCGATTACGTCGAAATATACAAAGATGTCGATAAAAAATAACATGTGCGCGATTTAACACGTTAAAAAATATTGAATTAAAAATAACATTGAAATAATATTGCGTTATAAATATATACGATTATATATTTATAATTCGATATTATTTCAATGTTATGTTTTATTCAATACTTTATATGTACCTATAGGGAGTTCGGCAATAGGTAGGATAACATTAATTTAAGGAGTGATTCTACATGATAAAATAAGATGAAACTCAAAAATAATATAATTGTAATGGAGGTTTCGATTTTTAATTACAAATATTTAAAAATTGTATCAAAGGTGCCTGAAGCACAACAATTCATCGATCTCTGGTGTGCTACATCAGTAAAGTCATTGTCAAAATACACTGTGGATATAGTACTATATAAAATATACTATAAATATAAGGATAATACAAATATTATTGTAAGATGTGCTATAATCATTAAATGTTTGATAACAGTATTACATAACATTCTACACTCACTTAAAAAAAAGCGGTACACTTAAAATTTGGAAAAATCACCAAATTTCAAATGATGATAACATTGTAAATAATAAAGGTAAAAAGATTTCTAAAAAATAAAAATAAAGCTTGGAATCTCTACTTTAAGAATCTATTTATTTCAATGTAGCGAGATATGTTTATTAAAAAAGGCAGATAATAAAACAAAAACACATAAAATTGAAAAATAATGTCCGAGTTTGCCAAAGCACATGATGTGAGTCAAATGTGGCAACTCAATGGGATAAGAAGCATATGATAGTACAGAGTTTCCCCTTTAAAATGCTTTTTTATTCATCTCGATACGATGATTTTTTGCAGAGTTATTCGCATTTGAATAAAAAGGCAACTTTTTACTTTAAATGCGAATAACTCTGCAAAAAATCATCGTATTGAGATGAATAAAAAAGCATTTTAAAGGGGAAACTCTGTACTATCATATGGTTTTTATCATATTGAGTTGCGACATTTGTCTCACGCCATGTGCCGTGGTAAACTCGGACATTATTTTTCAATTTTACATGTTCTTGTTTTGCCATCCGCCATTTTTAATCAATTTATCTCGCAATATTGAAATGTATAGATTCTTAAAGTAGAGATTTCAAGCTTTATTTTCATTTTTTAGACATCTTTCTATCTTTATTATTTATAAAGTTATCATCATTTAAAATTTGGTGATTTTTTCCAAATTTTAAGTGTACTGCTTTTTTTGGAATGAGTGTATGTTCTATAGACAAAAACTCGTAATTTGACTTTTATATTTTCTGTCTTAATATATTATAAAATGTATATATTATAATATTATAATGTACATAATAATTTTTAAAAATTATTTTTACGTGTATAATTAATATATGAAACTATAAATGTAATGTTGGTTGCGTAAAAGTTCAAAAATGTATTTTTATACTTTCTTAGAGGTTCCGTTTTATATTTTCAGTTTATTACATCATCGTAAAATAAAGATAATTGTTTCCTAAAGTATATTTAATCAAATTATATCAAAATCATACTAAGATCATGACAAAATTGTGTTTTTTCTGATTGCACGCGATGGCGTAAGAGATGGTGCTATAACGTCGAGAGGTAACCGAGGTACGATACCCTTCATGGAAGCCCATTGACCTTCACAAAGCTCGTGAAAGGTCAGACGCAGCAGCGATTGACCACTTAGGATACCAGGGCCTCTGCAAGTTGCACCAGCCCCAAATTCCCAGATGCTCCAATTTTCCGTTAATATCAAAGCTTGTTGTATTTGCAATGGATTGGTCAGATTCGCAAAGCTGGCGAATCTTCTTCGCAGCCAAGAGGCGATATAAGAGGTACGGCAGTCGCAGTGCCAAGGATTTCGACTCAAACGTATTTGTTGTATCATCGATATAATGTCCAAACTTCCAGCTGGCAAAAAAGAGAGGTCATTTGATTCCAATTGCCTAAAAAATACAATATAATGATTTATAAAATTGAAGAAAATATTACATCAGTCTTTTATTAATTTAAATTTCTTTGTAAATTATAGTTAGTTGCAGTAAATAATTAAAGCGGATATTCACAGATTGCAACTTTATTTATTTATTTCAATTTTTAACAATTATACTTTTTATATTATTAAAAAAAATTAAAAAATTAATCGTTTGATGTGAATTTCAATTAAAAGTTTGAAAAATTAAATATTAACTCACAACTTCTGCAATCTTGGCGTATCCTCGAAAACTCCTGATTGCACTATTTTTAATCGATTAGATTGCAAGAAAAGAGAGGTGACATTATACAATCCGCAAAAGACGCCTCTTATTAAGATTTCTATACGATTGCTATAGAGGATAAGACGTTCTAAAGACATAGAATTGTTAAACAATCCAAGTGGCAAGTATTTTATATGATTATGTCCTAGTCGAAGTTCTCGAAGCGCTGTCATGCTGAGAAAGGCTTTTGTATCAATCTATCACAAAAATCAAAATTATTTATTAATAAGAGAGAAATAATCCTTTAAAATATTATTATAGAATAAAATAAAAATTGAAAATATTAACTATATTATAAGGTACATATTTTTTATAAGGGAATATTTTTACTTTTTTACGCTAATATATATGTGTATTATAGAATGTCATGATTTTAAAAACAAAAGAATCATAAATAAATTTACGATATTTACACGAGATATTCTATTGTTTGATATTTCCAGAAGTTCTAGCTGCACAAGAGCCGACAATAAGTCCTTAGATATTTCTGTTAATCGATTATCTCTCATATCCAACTCTTTGAGAGAAGTTAGATTTTTTAATATACCATTAGGCAGCTCTCTCAGACGATTTTCCTCGAGTCCAAGGCGTCTGAGATTAATCGTATCTCGGAAAATTGGAACGGGTAATTCGATTAGCCGGTTTTTACCGAGCAACAGTTCCTCGAGATTTCCGAGACCACGAAACGCGTTAGGAGATAACGTTGATATGCGATTAGATGAGAGATCCAATAAAGCCAAAAGTCTGTTCCTCAAGAAGAGATCTTCAGGCAAACTACGGAGTTTGTTCGATGACAGATCACTAAATAAAATAATATTAAATATATATATAATTTAAGTTTCACATATACATACATATTTATAAAATATACCTAATATTTTAGATGTTCAATTAAATTAAAAAATATCTAATTTTTCATTATTTTATAATTGATTTCTTGTAGCTAATAATTTGACTCCTTGGAAATTTGATCGCAATTTTAAGTTAGAAATTTTTACATTTATAAATTTTCGACGTAATTTTCGATGTATATTAAATTTTTATAAAGATTATTTTTTGTTATTGTTAAATGTCTGACGTACAGTATTCGAAGATTCCTTAACCCGAAGAACTGATTTCGTTGTATCTCTTTCAACAGATTGTTACTAAGCCTGACATTTGCGAGACTATGCAGCGACAGGAACAAGTTTGCTGCTAAATGCTCGATAAAGTTGCTGCTCAGATCTCTATAATTCGTGATCTCGTTAGAAATCTCATCTCGCAATCGTTACTTACATCACTTACAAATGATGCAGCCGCGTCATGTTCCTAAATGTGTCTCTGTGTAGAGCGTTAAGCCGATTATTCCCGAGATCCCTAAAACGACATGTCAAATAATCTTCACTCTCAAAGCATTTATGTTGAGACTGAAGTGGATATGTATTCTTTATGAAAAAAGTCAGAAATATCTATTCTAAAAAAATTGCAATAAAAGGATGAAGAGTAAGCTTTAAAATATGCATTTAAATTACGGCATTTTAGATTGTTGTAAGATACTTATACAGTTTCAATACATCGGCAGGAACCAGTTGTATCGGAGGTAAATCAAGCAAATCGTATCTCCAACAGGACACCGATTTCACCTCTGGTATGCATTTGCACGGTCCTTCGGCGCAAATCTCCCAGTCTTCTTCCCTCAGACCGATCTGCCAAACTGCGAGAGCATTGAATGTGCTTCCGTGTAGTTCGCCACTATTATTGAAAATCACACAAGGCTCTTACCCGGCTGCTCGACCGCTCGCAGTCTTCGCTCAAGACTCGACAATCGGTTCTCCATCTCTTCAAAGTTCGATTTCGATAAATGTTCCGTACCTGCGTTCACATGAGAGGTTTTATTTCAAGCTTCCAAGTTCCTCATTTTAAATCAGGCGATAGGAAAGATAACAAATGAATTATAGCTTTGCAAATTTTATGCAATTAATTTAGCCTTTTTTTATATATAAAAATCTCGTTTTTACAATTAACTTTTTTTCTCAATTTTTAAAAACTTTTGAAGAAACGTGAAACAAAGCGTATAAACTATACAAATAATATTTCGTAATTTCAGTATATGTAATAATCGACGATGTAATGCATAATTATCGACATTTTATAAAACTTTGAACAAATAATTTTTTTCATTTTTCTGGTATTGATTTCTATTCAGATATAATTTTCGACAATTATTTAATTCGCGCTATTAATTACCTGTAAATGTCTGCGTGGTTGTGGTCGTGCAGATGTTTGAGACTAGAGGATACGTTTTCGTCTTGCACAACAAAAAGAAAACAATTACACAGTAAAGTTTTGAAGATAAATCGGTCATGTTACGCATCACCCGGACCAGATGATGACACATTGTAGGTGGGACAAAATACACCAGACTGAGAACGCGGCCGTCATTCTTCATAGCGCGGGGTCGCATCCTTATTATCTTCAGCATTGATTTAAAAGATAAACACAGTACAACGAAGATTGACGAACAATGGTCCCGCCCGTACAAATTACGCTCTAACATGCACCGTTCATATGTGCTTAGCAACACAACGCTTCTGATATTTATGAAATTCATTTTTTTTCAGAATCTTTCTAAAGAATAATTAATTGTATAGATGTAATCCATTTTAACATTACATAAAGGAAAGAGTAAAAGATATAATTAAATAATTTCTAATATTACTATATATTTACTTTATGTTTGTTTAATTAATAAATTTAATAAAAACAAATAACAATCATGAAACAAGATCTATAGTAAAATATAAAAAAATACTTTATGAGATATTTAAATTTAAATAAATATTACAAAAATATATCATAATATTAATAAAAATATATCATAATATCTGATTTTGATCATTCATATGCGCCTCAAAATTTTAGATACAAATATAACAAATAAATAACAAGAATTAATTTTATTTTAAAGTAAACGATGCAAATACCAAATAATTTACATCAACTAAATAATTTAAAAATTTCTGAATTACTAAACGGAAGTACAATACATGTCTCAAAAATATTTTAATTAAATATTTGCATCCTTTACAATATGAATCTTTATAAAACATAACTTCCTGCATATTTTAATCTTATTATACACATTTTCACATACAAATACACACATATTGAGATGTACGCATCGCATTTTCACTCAAATTGGCGTTAAAGAAAGCATAAACCAGGACGTTGCCTATAACGCATAAAATATACCTTCACTTTCCCTTTGCAGAAAATCACCACCATAAGTAAGTACCATTGATTCCATTAAACAAAAGTTTACAACTAGAGCATTCTTCGCCACTTCAATGTGATTGTTTTCCATTAGGCACAAATTTATACGTAATCCTAAATGTAAAACTTTTCTTTAAACAAATAGAACAAGAGACAAAATATTTTCAATCTGACATGTATAATTAATTTAATAAGTAAAATAAAAAAAAAATATATATATATATATATATATATATATATATTTATTATAAATATATATATATATCTATTTTTAAATATGTATATTTTTTATATAAATTATTTACATTATATTTACATTATACAGTATATTTATAAGAAAAATTAAACTTTCAAATATTACCTATGAATGCAAGAACAATCGTCATCGTCACGAGTTTGATTAATATAAAAAGATTGAAGGAGTCTTCCAAATTTTTATAAAATTCCATTAGCTTGCTGTGCCTGTTAATCAGGCGGATAAACTTTTTTCGATAATTTGCCTCTGTGTTTGGCTTGTTTACGAATGTCTGAAATTTGTTTTTGAGCACCTCGAGCTGACCAGCGAGATGCATGGTGATGTTGAAGAAAAAACTATTTTCGAGAAATAGCACCGAACACCCTATAACTTCTTGCACAAGTTAAATGGCAAGAATTATAACATATTGCGAACCAGTGATCGATTTACTCAATGGGTCACATGGAATCGAGAGTATCCAATTTATTGTATTAGCTGCACACCATGAGAATACAAAATATAAAAATAATGTTGCTTATGTAATATCTAAATATACAATTGCATTTAAGAAATTAAGTCAAGGAAAAATAATAATTTCATACTATTTAATAAATTCGAATCCGTAAAGAATATCTGCTTCAGATTGTTAAATAGAATTACTAATACGTAAACAGAAAAACATCCATAGACCGAATATAGTAACATAAGAGTCAGTACTTTAGCTCTGTAAGCATATTTTTTCATAATCTTTCGAGTTTGTTTGTTATTCTTAATAGACAACCAATCGTCGATAACACTATATATTAATATTAATAAGAATATTTGTCAGTCAGCTCTCCTATTTTTTATATATTAATGTTTATATTTAGTTTTTTTACTGAGACCGATACACAGATATATGTTTCATGATTCCAAGCATCCCGACCACGACAAATAGTATATTTCTAATAGTATATCTCCTATATTTGCGTTCTGATTGCTCGATGTAAGATCAAACATCACATAAATATACGTAAAATACGTTATCGATATAAGACTTTATTGATGCAACTAAATAATTTTAAAATATCTGAATTACTGCATGGAGAAGTGTATGTCTCAAAATACTTTAATTAAATATTTGCATTCTTTATAATATAAATTTTTATATAATATTGCTTTCTGCATACTTTAAATCTTATCATATACATACAAACATATTCACATACAAATTGACACATATTGAGATGTACGCATCGCATTTTCACTCGAATTCAAAATTATTTTGTTAGTAGTGCTATTCGTAGAACAGAAATATAAAAATATGTTGTCTTGAGGATGTTCTTCATTGTTTCGTGATTAACGTAGAAAAATTTTCCACCAGTAAATCGAAACGGAATGCTTGACTTCATCATTGCGAAGTGTATGTCCTTCATCAGCGTTAAAGGAAGCGTAAACCAAGACGTTGCGTATAACATATAAAATATACCTTCACTTTCCCTTTGCAACAAATCACCACCATAAGTAAATATCATTGATTCTATTAAATAAAATATTACATCTAGAGCATTCTTCGCCACTTCAATGTAATCGTTTTCCATTAGGCACCAAATTATACGTAATCCTAAATGTAAAATCTTTGTTTTAAAAATAGAATAGGCGATAAAATATGTTCAATGTGACATGTGTAATTAATTTAATAAGTAAAATTTTTAAAAATATACAAATATGATATTTATATATTTATTATATAAATATATATATATATATATATATATAAACATGTATATTTTTATATAAATCATTTACATTATATATACATTATATACAGTATATTTATATTTCAAATAAATTTATGCAATAAGAAAAATAACACTTTGTCATATATTACCTATAAATGCAAGTATAATTGTCACCATCATGAGATTGATTAGTGTACAAAGATTGAAGGAGTCTTCCAAATTTTGATAAAATTCTATTAGCTTGCTGTGCCTGTTAATCAGGCCGATGAACTTTTTTCGATAATTTGTCTCTGTGTTTGGCTTGTTTGCGAATGTTTGAAATGTGTTTTTAAGCACCTTGAGCTGACCAGCCAGATGCATGGTGATGTTGAAGAAAAAACTACTTTCGACAAATAGCAACGAAGCTCCTATAACCATTTGAACAAGTTGAATGGCAAGGATTATAACATATTGCGAACCAGTGATCGATTTACTCAATGGGTCACATGAGATCAGGAGTATCCAATTTGTTGTATTAGCTGCACACCATGAGAATACAAAATATAAAAATAATGTTGCTTGTGTAACATCTCAATATACAATTGCATTTAAGAAATTAAGCCAATAAAAAATAATAATATACCGATAAACATAGAAACAAATTTTATACCATCTAATAAATTCGAATCCGTGAAGAATATCTGCTTCAGATTTTTAAATAGAACTACTAATACGTAAGCAGAAACACATCCAGCGATCGAATATAGTAACATAAGAGTCAGTACTCTGGCTTTATAAGCATATTCTTTCATAATCTTTCGAGTTTCCTTGTCATCCTTAACAGACAACCAATCGTCGATCGCACCATTAATGTTTATATTTAGTTTTTTTTGACTGAGACCGATACACAGATGTTTCATGATTGCAAGCATCACGCCCGCGATAAATAGTATAGCTTCTAAGTTTATATCTGCGTTCTGATTGCTCGATGTAAGATCCAACATCACATAGGGTATTATCATAATCTAAATAATAATTTTTTGACTTAAAAGTTTATGTACGTGTGCGTAAATATTGATAAGCATAACAATAAGAAACAATTTTTGTAGTATATAATAAAGCATAAAATAGCAGATAAAATTAAAATAAAAATTAGTAAAAAAGGAAATCTATTTTTTCACTATTATAAAAAAAGTCTTGAAACTATTTTGCATATGTTAATTCTCTTTTCTCATGTATATTTCATTCAGTTGACATGCATTAACGTACCTGCGCAATAAGACAGAAGCCCCATCGTATCCTCGTGAATAGCGTCTGCGTTTGCAATGGCCACATGCCGAATATACGTAAGAATATTCTATGAATGGAGAAAACATAGGCGATGTCGTCGTTCCAACGTTCGGCCGACATCATGGGATAGGAACAACTCGAATGACTGCCCCATTCGAAAGCACTTTGTTCAGTAGTTGTAAATAGAAATTTGTCAATCTAATGTCGTTCGATTTATGGTTATTTCATCAAACATTATCGTGAATTATCAACCGCGTCTCGTTAACTTATTACCTCGATTAACTTAATATTTTATTAGTCTGTACTGTAAACTTATTACCTCGATGAACTTATATTTTATTAACCTGTACTTTGTACTTTTCTTAGGCAGGTAAGATAAGTGTGAAAAAAGATCGATGTCTCTACACTGCCAATTTACGCGTAACAGCGGAGAATTTGATAAGAAACGTATATATTTTTATCCACGTGTCGATTAAAATGTACAATTGCGCCTTTTGACATTTATTTTATCACAATGGTGGTAATTATAAACATTCATTCTTCGATTATGCTATATTCTTTTCTAATGTTTGGCAAAAAACATTATCGATATATCATTCAAGCCTGTTGATGCGTATACAAAATGAAATAAATAATGAAAAGAAAATTATGCGCACAATCAAAGATATCTCAGTCACAATTTAAAACCGTGTGTGATCAACCGTATTATTTTTTATTTTTTTATCTTCACTCTGAGAACGAAGAGGTAGGAGCCTGTAGCTTTCAAGATCTCTTTGAAGGAAAATAAATTCATAGGTAGGCATTTTCCGGTTGTTATTTGATGAGGAATCATTCTTCGAAACATTACCATTGGCAGATTTTTCATTATTTTCACTTTGAAATCGTACCACTGATTATCGTAAGCACTATACGCGATTTTTTTTACTTATAGATTTCATTTGATGCCAGCGTAGCAATAGAAGTACGGTCGCACTAGAATATTCA